GCACAGCACTGGCCGCATTGTGCACTTTGCATTGTATGCCTTGTGCTGCCACTTAGCATGCGCTCATGTATTCAGCACCTCAACGTCGACATCAATGCCTCTATTGGACACTTACGCTCTTACAAATGACGATGCCATTCATACTTAGGTAAATAGTTCAAGCTCTAGTGGTCAAAAGTTATTAAATTAGCATTTCATAGAGCAATCATAGAATGATATCGTCGTAACAAACTCGTCGTCGCGTATTACACTGCACACTGATGTACGTCTAGATTCAGAACTGTAAGAAAGATATATAAACGAGACAATTAATAATATTTCGGACCCCGTAGACTACGAGCTTTTTATCTGCTGATAGTTAGATCTGTTTAACCAAACTCTTGTGAAAATCTTTGTAATGCACGAACATATGTGCATACATACTTATTAAGCTCCCTGAATAAACAATCGATTGATGAAAAGTAGTTTACAGAGGATCTTATGGATAGGTGTTTAACAATAAATGTATGACGTAAAAAGATTTCAATATACAAAAGTAACTAGCGAACACTAAGAATAAATGACACGTGAATGACCATATCTATATTTACACATGCTTCCTATTGACATGAAATGGCAAACTCACCCTGTATCCATAATCAGAAGTCCTTCCCAGAAACTGTGTTGTCCATTAATAAGCCACAGAAATAGTAAAGGATTAGTTGATAACAAAACAGTTATTTGCAGTTCGTTGTGTTGTGTTGTGTAAGTAGCGCTGTGACTATTGCGAATTGAAAATGCAATCACAATAGACGACTACGTCTTAAAGGCTGTCGCACATCGCGCGCTATGCTAATAATATAACAAACTATGCTTTTTACAAATGTTGTCCCATAACACAGTTTAACCGTACAGTATTGGCTTTTAAAATGACAAATGTTCATAAAAACGAAATACTCTTGTTATTTAGTTGCAGAGAATTGATCAGATAACATTTCTTTTTATATTTAACTTCTACTGTTGTTGGAAATGTCTCAGTTTACTTTTTTAAAATTAACGAATTTGCTAAGCATTATTGTCTCAAGACAATTCAGTCATCTAATTAATAGATAGAACCTAAAGGTTTTCTATGCTAAAATTACTCAAAGTATAGCATATACATCGCGTCCAGTGTACTCTCGCCCTAATTTGTTGCCGATAGAGATGTACAATTCCCGTATTCAAAAATATGATTTATAACGATAATAATAGAATGTCCACCGTCCACGACAACGGCGCGTCGACGCCGAGACCAACTCTTGCCCATTGTCATTGTCGCTGCGCACGGGTTTTTTGTTCAAGAATGGGAGTCAGAGATGGGATCATTTTTAAATCTGTGCCCGTCATCTGCGCACAATGCCCACTATTAGCGGATTATAATATGCAAAAAGAGCAGGTACTTGTAGACCTCAAAACATAAGCGCGAGCGTTTTTTAATAAAAATATATTTGGCTGTAAAGTAATATATAAAAATATATATAAAATATAAATAAAATAGTATATAAAAATATTTACAAATAATTATTACCTTGCGCTTATAGAGGACTTGTAATAGTTCGTTTTTTAATTTGTGTTGTGAACCTTTGTATTCGTTTTGGTTTATCACTATAAAACCGCTTTCGCTCATGTATTATGGCAAGCGCGATGTTTTCTTGCATATGGCAGATGCAAAGTGCGCAGTCCCGCGGGACGCTGGACAGCCGGACACTCACAATGACGTCAGTCGGACACTGCGTGACGTGACAATCCGGACACACATTTGTTGTTTTACTTGAAACGCAAATATTTACAACTCCTGAAATGCATCCACGTTTCTGACGTTGTAATACTGAGATTTTGCTTCTTGGTTTTTTAATTGTTGCGTGTGCCCTCTATTTTCTTGAAATAACCACTACTAGGAACACGCTAGAAGCTTAAGCAAAAACATGTTGTTTGACGTCAACCAAAGATCAGTACCATATGTTACGTCAGAATATCCGCCGATAAGATGGATGTGTGGGGTAACACAATTGGATAAGATACGAAATGAGTATATTGGAGGAAGTTTGAGAGTAGCCCCAGTGGTTGAGAAAATAAGGAGTAAAAGGTGTGGTAGGGGCATGTTATGTGAAGGGATGAATCGCATGTAACAAGACGGACGTTAGTTATGAATGTGGCCCCTCCACATACACCGGTAGTGGTAGACCTAGAAAGAGAAGAAACCTGGAGAGATGGATGGATTGCGTGGAAGGTGACATGATCAAGAAGGGAGTGATGACTGAGATGATGGATGATAGAGTGCTTTGAAGGACGAAAACCCGGTGCGGGGACCCTACGGAAGTAGGATAAGGCAGGGGAGATGATGAGAATATCCTTCGATAAGTATCTTTTGTTTTATCAATACTTTTAATTTACGCAATAATTAACCTAATGCTAGTTATTTAAAATTCTATTGATCGTTTTGATATTACATGTAGCCATACCAAACACTTGAACAACGGTTTATTCGTAGTTTTCCAAACAATAACATTTCACGACAATACAGTAGTGGTATTTTAACAATATGTTTATGTAACATCGATGTTCTCATGGGATCAACGCAGCTTGTCAATCATACATCCCGGGTCCCGCTATCCCGTCCCAAGCCGCGCCGCGAGTCGCCGCCCCGCTGAGCGAACCATACTATTCATACAATCCGCCCAGCATTTACTGAACAAATGTGAATAACATACTTTTCAATAAAAGGCTTGAATCTGTAAAGAATTAAATCATACAATCGTTTACAAACAACAATTTTATTTACTATTCTATGAAAATGTAGACCAATGCCACAGTAGCACAGAAACGCTTTTGGATAATAATTTCCACTAATAATGAAAAAAATTTCGTGTTTTATAGAAAATCGCGCTTAAATTTCATGTCATCGTATTTGTGACCTGTTACCAATTACATAGTTTGTTAGAACTGGTGAATTAAAACCCGTTATGTTATAGAAAATTAATTTAAGGAAGAGCTTTAAGTTCCCTTTAATCAACGAAATGTATTACAAAAGTGTAGTATCAAAAAGCTATAATAACAGCATTTACTAAATGTAATGTATTATGCATGTAATGTATTCTCAACTATATCACAACTGCGTTAGGTATAAATTAGATTGAGAAGTTGACAGTAAGATATTTGCAATAGATAAGTCCCGGTATAATCCGTGAAGCGGCGGAGTGCAGTCGTCACCTGCCGCTCACACAGACAGACTGCACCTTGTTATTTGTAACGGTGTGATGCGATAACGGACTACAGATCCCAACACTCCCGACCCGACGTGACAATGTCATGTACGCCCACACATATCACTGCCTTCACTACTTAAACGTGACTATATGTAGACTATAATTGACATAATAAATATTGAAATTTGATATAAAAATTGTATTTTCAACAGAACACATTCTATAATTTATTTCCTTTTAGTGTAAATGCATAAGATGTAAAATTCAGATTTAAAAACCAGAAATAACAATCTGAAAGTAATTGCTACTAACAAGTAAAATTCAAAATCTACTTCAAAGGCTTACTTTGTGTAGACACAATCAGATAAATCATATAAATGTAAATACTTCTGATTTCAGCTGTAAGCCAGCGTGTCTCGCCTGCGGCGGAGGGCACTGGGACGCCGCTGGGCTTGTTCAGCCGCGCCATGGCCACGCTGGCGCAGATGCATCGATTAGGGCCGCACAAGAAGAACAGGAAGTCCAGGAACCCTCTTAACGGGAACCCATTCGCTAAAGTACGTTACCATGGCAACGATTAAATAACTAGTACCTAAATAGAACCTCAACTTTCTTCTACAAATTTACATGAATAACGTGTTGCTTAGAGATCAATTAGAGAATCTGAATGCAGCATTTCTTGTTACTGATATCGCTGTTTGCAATCTTTAATTTTACAGGGCGTGGTACTAAAGACATTGATAAGAAAGCCAAAGAAGCCGAACTCCGCGAACCGCAAGTGCGTGTTGGCGCGACTCTCCAACGGCAAGGAGATGATCGCGTACGTGCCCGGCATCGGACACAACCTGCAGGAGCACAACATCGTGCTCGTCCGCGTCGGCAGGTACTGTGTGCTGCCCACTGCACTGCACACGGCACACTGCACACTGCACACTGCACACTGCACACTGCACACTGCACACTGCACACTGCACACTTCCCACTTCCCACTGAACACTGTCCACATCCCACTGAACACTGTCCACATCCCACTGAACATTGCCATGCATTACCCATTCTGCATTACCCACTGCAGTAACAGCTGCTTCCATCTGATCTCATAATATCCATCCACTACAAAGAATAGATACTATCCACAACTCATAAATATAAAAGATTTTTCCGTTAGCTTTCTCTGGGTCGTAGTCACATTGTATTGCATTTTTTAGGTACAATTTCAATGAGATAGAGCAAAATTGATATGCATAATTATAACTGTGAATTAACATACGACTTAAAATGAATAGTTGTTCACATAAAAATAATTATAAATTTTCAGAGTGAAGGACTGTCCGGGCGTGAAGCTAAAGTGCGTGCGCGGCAAGTTCGACTTGTCGCACGTCGTCAAACAGAAGCAGTAGCCTAACTCTGTACGGTACCATTATCTTTAGCATTTCTATAGTAATTATAACAATTTAGAGTAAGGAAATTATTTGTTTTATTTTTTATTTCTTTGAATATTCGCCTAATATCCTATAGAGACGATACTATTTTCAGCAGTGGTAAAATGTACTCTGTAATTTAAAAAAAATACAATAAATGTGTGTTATGTATTATGCATATATCACACGTCATAATAACAAAAAACTTCTATTCAATTGCTCTTTAAAAACATTAATATTTGAGATCGGAGTTTTTTACCGCGAGCTGCGCGCCGCCATTGGCCGAGTTGTGCGCACGCGCCGCCC